ACCTTGTTGTCTCGGATTCTCCAGCATCTGCAGTTCCTACTATCTCTAATATAACTGCTGTTTGGTTGGTTGAAGAATCTGACTTCTAAAGCATTCTTTGAGCTTTTCATCAAGACTACTACTGCCAATCTGAGTTTTCCAGTTTACATATGGATTCAAGTTACCCAAGATTATTGCTGCCCATTATCACATACAATCAATATTTCTTCTTGCGATAGGATTAATTACTAACACCAAAGTAAAGACACTTCTCAGAGCAACCACCACAAGATGATTGAATTTTATCTGCAATTTGAAAGGGAGAAGATTGGGTCTAAAGTCTAGTACTTTAAACGTAAATAAGGGCAACTACTTGGATATGAAAGCTGAGCTAGCTGATGTGAACAGACATTCTAGGCTAGGGGATAGATCAGCAGAGGCACAGTGGCAAGAGGCTCAGATGAAGTATTTCCTTACTTTAAAAGAAAATTCTAAGGGATGAATCCACAATTTGTGGCAAACATAAATTTAGGAAAGCACCAAACTCGAGAAAAAAATGTGTGCAAGGATAAGCATCAGATATGATGATTGGTTGGCATTGGTCTGATGAAATGATTGGGGTGGCATGGTGGCACAGTGGTTAGCACTGCTGCCTCACAGCGCCAGGGACCCAGGTTTGATTCCAGCCTCGGGTGACTGTCTGTGTGGAGTTTGCACATTCTTCCCGTGTCTGGGTGGGTTTCCTCTGGGTGCTCTGGTTTCCTCCCACAGTCCAAAGATGTGCAGGCTAGGTGGACTGGCCATGCTAAATTGCCCGTAGTGTTCAGGGATGTGTAGATTAGGTGGGTTATAGGGGAATGGGTCTGGGTGGGATGCTCTGAGGTTCGGTGTGGACTTGTTGGGCCAAAGGGCCTGTTTCCACATTGTATGGATTCTATGGCCAAAATATAAACAATAGCAGGGAATGGCTAAAAGTTAATTAAGAGGAAGCAATTAGAGTATGAAGGAGGTTAACACAGAATAAAGAAAAGGGATTTTTGCACATATTAAAAAAGAAAATGAGTATCAGTCCACCAGAGAGTGAGAATTAGGAATTAATAGTACAAAATAAGGAAATAGTAGATGATATGAAAAATATTTTGCTATGTCTTCTCTACAGAGGATACAAATATTATCCCAGCAATAGCTATAAATCAGAAGGTGGAAGGAGGAGAGGAAAGTAGTGAAATTATAATCATAGGCAAGCAGTACGAAGCAAATTGAAAGCGCAGCGAGTTAACAAGTCTCCAGGTCCAGTTGGACTTTATCCTGAACTCTTAAAAGAACTAATGAACGATTAGAAGCATTGTTGCTAATTTTCAAAAATTTCCTTGATTCAGGATAGGTTTCATTAGACTAGGAAGTTTGGAGAGGTGTCTTTATATGTGTTTTGGCTGACAGACAATCTCTAAACTTATTGCTGTACTCTTGCCATTTGCAACAAAATACCTCTGTGAGCTAGCATTTTCAAAACTCGTGTACATGAAAAATAAAAGGAAGGAGAGATTGTCAGTGGAGCAAGATTTGCGGCTGGCCTTCTCAACAAATCCTCTCCAGATCCAAAATCTCTGCACACATTAATAGGCCCAGGTTTCCCACTAACTCAGTGAAAATGGCATACAGCGAAGCTTGCCTTCATTAACAGGGGCATAGAATATAGAATAAAGAAGTCTTGTTAAAACTTTATAAAATGCTGGCTTGGCCAGAGATGGAATACAGAGATGTGTGCATTTCTGGTCACCTCACTATCAGGAGGACGTAATTACACTGGAGAGGGGATGGAGGAGATTCACCAGGTGGCGGGAAGAAAATTCTCAGTTATGAGAAGAGACTGGATAGGCTGGGTTAGTTTTCTTTGGAGCAGAGGATGCTGAGGGGGAATCTGATTGAGATTTTCAAAATTATGCAAGACATAAGCAGAGTAGATTGTGAAAATCTCTTTCCCACGGCAGATGTGTCTAAGACCAGAGGGCATAAGTTTAAGGTGAGGAGCAAATGGTTTAGAGATGGGACAAAGACCTTTTTCACCCAGATGGTGGGTAGGAAGGTAGGTAGGTAAATAGAGAGACAAATAGAAAGAAAGAAATTTATTGTTACTTGTATTGTGAAAATACAATACAATGTGTGTAAGTTGCCACAAAACAGTGCCATTTAATTATGTTAATGATATATATTTAAAAAAAATGAGATAAAGTTAAGACAAATATCACTTTTTGCTCATTCCACACCTCTTGGTTTTATGAAATGGTCACTCCTGAAGATTAGGGCCTGCCAAATTGCCAAGGACCAAGGTCTTATCCAACTTCCGAGGATTGGTTCCTGTCCAACTGCCGAGGATTGGGGCCTCTCGAAACTGGTGAGGATTGGGGGCCTGTTGAAACTGCTGGGGCAGGGCCATCAAAACGGTGGAGAACTGAGTCCTACTGAAACTTCCAAGGACTGTTGGCCCATCAAAACTGCCGAGGACCCAGGGCTGTCAAACTGAATCTGCTGCACCCCAGCCGTAGAAAGAAGAAAAGATGAATTTGATATCAAAAGTGAAATAAGACATTACAATAAGAAGAAATAATAATAAAAAAGAAGGATGTGGCTGGTCAGATGAATGGTAGTGGATGTGCCAGGAGCCCGAACACTACCTAATCGGCTGTCTCTGCCGTCTTGCTATCTGATATATGGAACTGAAGTTCAGTTCCACTGTCTGAAAATAATTCTTCTCATCTCTTTTCTAAAAGGGTGACATCTAATTTTAAAACAGAGGCCTTTAGTTCTGGATTCACCCTCAAGAAGAAATGTTTTTTTTCCACACTTATCTTCTCAGGGAGGATTGAATAATTCACAAATTGAACATCCCAAATACTGGTTGGCTAACAGTGAGTGTAAGAGAGGTTGGACAACTCATTTTCATATTTAGAGCCACAACAACAAAGAGACCTAACAATGTTACTTACAGAAGTTAAAGAAAAGTCTATTGAAAAAAATCAAGCGTACAAATTCAGTTATGCATGATTTGGATGTAGGAGAATTATAAAATCTCTGACTTATTGGTTAAAAGCAATAGCTTAGAGCAACCAGTGAAGGAATATAAACTGGCTTTCTACCCGCTTTTGGTATATTTTTATTTTAGAGCCAAGGACACCACCTCCCCAACTAAATGCCTCTGGCAATCTTATTCACACTCACAAGTTGTTCACCTTCCTGGGAGCCAATCACAGAACTGTTGGCAGGTAGAGGACCTTTGTCATCAACAACTACACAGACCAATGACCTACTTGTTGCTGGTTGAATTTCCTTTTGTACACAGTCCTTGATGGCAGTTCATTGGCAACAAAACATCTTACTCCTTATTCCCTCCTCCTGCATAGAAAACAACCAGTTCTGAAGAAGGGTCAATGAACCTGAAACATTAACTCTGATTTCTCTCTGTAGGTGCTGCCAGATCTGCTGAGATTTTCTAGCAATTTCTGTTTTTGTTTATGATTTCCAGCATCTGCAGTTCCTTTGTTTTTTTTTTCACTGAACATTCCCCCCACTGGTTGAATAAACATCAGTGTAAACAGCATTTCCAATATATGCTGGCTGCTTGCTTTCAAAAGTTCAGGAATCCCTTCCAAAATTCATTGCTTTTAAAATAGGCCTTTTTCCATACAAGTCCCAAAGTACTGAAAAAAAATAAAAACAAATACAGTATTTACACAGATGAACTTTCCCTGGACTCTTAGATAAGGGGACCAAAATTGTTCATGGTAGCCCGGTTGTGGTTTGCCTAGTGCCTTGCATAGTTTTTGTAAGATGTCCTATTTTTAAAATCCACTCCTTTCAAAATAGCATCCGACAGTCCATTTGCCTTCACTATTACCCATTGAACTTGATCTTAAATTGTATGTTCATCAGCTGGAATATGTGGACTAGGCTTAGCAACATTGCCCAGAGTTTATAATATCAGACAGAATGATTGTCTTTGGACTGTTGCATTAAAATCAAGAGTAGTGATTGTTTATTGAGAGGGCACTACTTCCTTTTAGCTAGACTTTGATTGGTCTTATCTTGTAGTTCTCTTTCATTTTATATTCTTTTGAAAGGATAATTTGACCATGAAACACAGCTTGATGTTGAAGTTGTAACATTGACTAAGAGTTGATGGGTTTCACTGTTCCTCTTCCTGAGCAGAGTAACGATTTTTTTTATTCACTCACAGTACGTGGGCATCACTGGGCGGCCAGCATTTATTGCCCGTCCCTAGATGGCCTTGAGAAAGTGGTGGCGAGCTGCCTTTTTCAACTGCTGCAGCCCACATGCTGTGCATTGACCCATAATAGCCTTAGGGAGGGAATTACCTTCAAGGCTACAAAGTAGAGTTGAGACAAAAGAACCCAGAACTGTTTGTATTGAGTACTAACTTCTCTTTTTACCCCTTCGATCCAGGAAAGTCAGAATTTTTTTTTTAACTGGGTGAATATTTCTGCAGTTATTTGCAGACCCTTATGAACATGTTCAGTTATTGATCTCCATGGTGGATAAAGAACAAAGTTAGGACCTATCAAGCCAGATTTTACTTTGGGATTGACAAATCCAGAGTTAATATCAGCTGGGATTGCACACTTGGCATATACATCTTCCTGAATGGTTTACTTTTATTCAGCTCATGTCAATTGTCAGGATGGTTGACATGGTGCAGGATTAGCCAATTGATGCATAGTCTTTATAACACATATGTAACACAGTGGAGAGCAAAATAATATTTCCAAATTAGTATTGTTTTAGAAAAGCATCTGCATGCATAATTTTTTAATTGTGTCAGATCTGCTGCATTTGCTGATTCTGATCAATTTCCTATTAAACTTCATTTGACAAAGTTGACAATGTCCAGCAGCTGGGCTTTTTGTCCAATTGTTAGGGAGCTCCAAGATCAAAGTGATCTCTGTGAACTAATCAACAGAATAAAGAATTGCTTATTCACAGAAGCAGGTATTTTGTGAAAATCATATTTTGGTTCACTTGGACAAGGATTTGCTTAAAGGTGTAATCCTTTGCACAGAGCAAGAGAAAAATGCATGTAAAGAGAACCAGAATTATAATAATGAGAAAAAGTACACCAAGTTAATTTCATTAAATTTCTCTTTTCTTGAATTCATTGTGCATTTCACAAAATATCAGTCAACATGTTAGCTTGGAACACAGGCTGAGAATTTTAATCTGAATATGCGAGTGACAGAATTTGTTTTGTGCTTATTATACCATTCTCTCAAGTTTAAAATGAAGGAATGAGTGAAACATCTGGGAGAATGCAGAGTGTTGATTAATCCTTCAGAAGATCCATACAATGACTGTGAATTTGGGGCAGATATCTTGTCAGTCACAGAATTATAGAAGTCTTAGGGTGCAGAAGGATCTATTCAACCTATCACGCCTGCACAAGCTCTTCAAATTAGCATTATTACTTAGTGCCAATGTCCTGCTTCATCGCTCATTCCCTTTTATTTGGATAAAAATTATGTGCAATGCCTTGAATGCTTCAGTTGTACTTGCCTCCACTATTCCAGTGAGTGGATTTGATACCCTACCTACTCACTGTTTGAAAAAAAGCTTTTTTCTGTTAGCACATTGCTTCTTTTGCAAATCACTTTAAATCTATGCCCTCTGGTTCTCATTCCTTTTGCAAGTGGGAACCGTTTCTCTTTATCTCCTTTATCCAGCCCACTCATGATTTTGAAAATCTCAGTCATCTCACCAAGGAGAACTGATAAAATGAAGAACAGTTCCAACTTCTTCAATCTATCCTCATAGATCGTTTCCTCATCTCTGTGGATACCTTCTTGCAAATCACTGCTGTACTCCCTCCTGTGAGTTCGCATCTTTCCTATAATGTGGCATCCAGAACTGTACACAATACTCCAGCCGAGATTCAACAAATTCAATACCACTTCCTTACTCTAATCCCTTATAATACAGCCGAGAATACTGTATGCATTACTTAACCATTTTCTATCTGTCCTGCTAGCTTCAATGATCTGCGCACATACACAGTTAGGTCACTTTGCTTCTGAACTGCATTCAGAAATAAACCCCCTACATTATATTGCCTTTCAATGTTCTTCCAAACATTATGCATCACCTCATATTTCCCTGCATGGAGCCTCATTTGGCAATTGACAAGTTGGTGGAATGGACTGACACAGTCTTTTTGGAATTCTACACTACCCTTTCAAGTTACATTTCTTTCACATTTCCAGTCATTATTTCTTGCATGGAAAGATTTATTGTTAGGCTTGTCGGAACTATGTCCGTGGCTTACCAGAACGGTAAATCACAGATATAGTTCATTCCGAACTATTTTTCACCCGGAATGGTAAACCATGTCTTGAGCTTTTTTCTTTAGGGGTCAAAAAGATTACAGGCTGTTATGATCCTTTGATACTATTACTGGACAAATCAGTTCACAGATTGAAATCAGACTTGATAGGTGTTTTTTCCTTGGTTTTGATGAGGTGGTCTTTTGCTAAAACACAAGCACGCAAGAGCTGCAGATTTGGATTTAACAATAAAACAAAGTTTATTATGCAAAAGGAATGAAGAAAATACAGAATACACCAAATTATTTACATATAACATACAGTATTTAAAGACTATAAAACATGTGGTTTAATACAATCCTATTAATCCTACCAGCACTCCTTCACAGTACTCACACTACAGAGAATTCCCCTCTATCTCATCTATAGGACATAAATTAACTGACTTCAGGATCTTCAGTTAGATTTCCTCAATTTCAAATAATCCCTTCAGAGTTTAACCAACCATTTTGGGTTTAGAACTTCCAAACTAAACGCCTTACACTGAAGTAATGAATTTGTTAAGTTCTATGTTATCTTTTGTCTTCAGGAGCAACTGGTTTACGCATCCAGTTCCAGCCAAGACTTTTGCAAACTGAAATGCAAAAAAAAAGGTTTCCCAAGCCATGGGTGTTGCCCCGAAGACCAAAAAAAAACTCCATAACTCTGGGACCTTCCAACCAAAGTCTAACGTGGTCCATTAGTTTGCTTGCTCACAGCTCACTCAATGAAAATAAAACTCATTTATTCCCCAGGAAGTCTCTCTCATACTGTGTTTTAAAACAAATCATGAGGGCTATAGAAATACTTACAAGTTAATCACTAAATGCCTTCATAGACACGGACCAAACCTACATGGCACTAAGTCAAACTTAAATGTAGAAATATTTTAAAATAATATTAACATTTATAGATCACACATCTTACATCACAATACTTACATCCTTTCAAATTTTCATCCTAGAAGAGCACAAGTGTAATGAAGAACTCTTGAAATTGTAAAACATGAAAGCATGAAACTTTTGTAACCACAACCACTTCCTGAGTGCATGTATGTTACTGAACGCTTTGGTGTAGTATGTGTAATAGATGTGTAACATGTATAGATGTTGCATAACAAACATTATCCTTCTTTTAAAGTTTAAAAAAAACCTTAGTACTTGCCTGTACTTGACGAATAAAATACAATCACTTTATCTTTCTAAAAGTTATTCATTGATTACCTGAAAAATCAATTGTCATAAGGATTTGTATATGGGTACTAGAAAATAAAAACAGGAGTGTTCTGTCAAAATATATTTAAATACAATATTTCTGAAGCATTGAAATAGTGAAAACATTCAAAAGATACTCTAGGCTTGAGGAAATTTATGAAGGGTGTGGCTTGCCTTAAAATTGAGGAAAAGTGAAGCAAGACAACATAAGCCACCATAAATGACACAATTTTAAAGGGGATGCAAGAACATTGACACCTTAATATGTTTGTACAAAAATTATTGAAGGTGGCAGAACAATTTAGCAAAACTTTTATACAGGAGAGTACAAAAATGAGAAACAAAAACAGAAAGTTGCTGGAAAAGCTCAGCAGGTATGGCAGCATCTGTGAAGAGAAATTAGAGTTAACGTTTCGGTTCCACCGGACCCCGAAACGGTCAACTCTGATTTCTCTTCACAGATGCTGCCGAACCTGCTGAGCTTTTCCAGCAACTTTGTTTTTGTTTCTCATTTTCAGCATTCACAGTTCTTTTGGTTTTTACAAAAATGAGAAAGTTACACTGAGTTTGTATAAGGCCTTAAATTTGTCCCTCACTGAAGTATTGTGTTAATTCTGGGCACCACACTTGGAGGGACACAGAGGCTTTGGAGACCATACAGCTCAGATTCGAAGGATAGAGGATTTCAGTTAGAAGTATAGACTGTCAAAGCTGCATTTTCTTCTCAGAGCAGAGACTTCTAAGAGGAGATACAGCTGTTTAAAATCATGTAGAGTTCAGAGAAGGTGGCATAGATTTAAGGAAATTGACAAAAGAGCTGGTATTTGGAATCCATTGCCTGACAGAAAGATAGAGCCCATCTATCCTTTTGTCTTCCAGCCATGAATAGTTTCAGCTTTCTTTGACTTTTCCACTTTCAAGAACATTTATTCCATTGACCCATTTCAGGAAAAGAATCAAACATCACAGGAGGCCATTCCACCCATCAAATCTGCACCACTTCTTCCTAAGAGCAATCCAGATAGTCTCACTAATCTGCTCTTTCCTCAAATACCGACAATTTTTCATCCAGTATTTATCCAATTCTCCTTTGAAAGCTACAATTGATCTACATCTACCACATACAGAAAAACTTTCCATTCAGCTGTGAGCCCCAAAATATAGTGAATATAATTCATATTCAACCCCTGCACCAAAACTGAAAACTCCTAGGGTCAGATTTTGATATCATATTTGCTGCCCTGAAGCGGTCAGTAACAATACAATTAAATCAGTTAGGTAGTCTGCACTTAGGTGCTAGTTCGGTAGTTCATACTAACGCTCATGAGCATTAGCTTAAAATGGTTAATAATTCCACATTGTAAGGTAAGCAGCACAGGAAGTTGAAGTTCACAGCTAAGTTATGAACATATCATTAAAATATAATCTAATTCTGCAGATCAACATATTGTTGATTGGGCAGAAAGAATTTTAACCCTTGGCCTCTTTTCACCTCAGTTCTGTAAATTAGCTTTTACCACTTCAATAATCGCTTGCTTGCTCTGGCTTATTTTCTCACTCTCCCTTAAATTCTCACTATTCACTCTTGCACTTTCTCCTTTCATGTCTCAGCTTGCTGAGAAGGATTGAGACAAACAGACAACAAGAACTTGGAACTCGCAGATTGGAAACAGCAGGTGTGGTAAGCAAACAAGCAAGTTAGCAGGAACTCTGGTAGGTCGACAGCTGATCCAGGAACTGTTTGGGTCAAGCTGGCTGGAAAAATGGTTGGGTGAGAAGCACTATTGGCAAGTTGTTTCCTTTGGACAAATGTGGAAGCTTATCATCACATTTAAGAAGCTCCAAACCAAATGACTGAAATCTATATCAGCAAAAGTTTGCTCACTAATGCAACCTCAGAGTTTAGGCTGGTTGATCCAGTGCTCAGATACTTAGAACCCCTTTTCCCTAACACATGTGGGGAAGGGAAGGGAAAAGGGTACTGCTGTTTTTCAGGAACAAAAACAAAGTTGCTGGAAAAGCTCAGCAGGTCTGGCAGCATCTGTGAAGGAGAAAACAGAGTTAACGTTTCGGGTCCGGTGACCCTTCCTCAGAACTGCTGTTTTTCAGTTAGCTAAAAATCACACGTTACTAATGCAGATCCCTCTGCTTGCCCAGCTAAGGTCACCATACCAATTTGGGCATTGGCTAGTAGAATTAGTTAAAAGATTCTGGGAAGAATCCCAGTCCCCACTAAGAGTTTTCAATTATAAGTAATACTTCCATTTCAACTCAATTTATTTTAATATTTTGAAATGACTAGTATATTAAGTAGTTTAATCTTTCTTGTATCAATATTTTATTACACCAAAAACAAACATTGTAATTGCCAATAATGTCACAATTACTATACTAATTGAGGAAAAGTACACATAAAACGAATTTATGTAGTATGTATAGAAAACTTGTATTACAATTTTCAGCCTATGTTAAAATAAATGTTTAGTTCGAGGAGTTCTTCAAACTTCATGTAAATTGTTAACTGTTGCTTCTGACAGTATCAACGTGGTCAAGAGGAAGCACTAGATGCTGAAGACTCTCTTGCTCCCATCACAATACTATTTTTGTCACTCAAGTTCTTGACTACCGTTGCAACTGGAGACTGCAGCACTTTGCGAGAAAGCCTCATCCTTCCATCCGTGGGATCACGACCAAAATACTTCACCTAGTTTTCAAAGAAAATATTTTCCTCCATATTAATGCTTTCATTGTACTTCAACACTCTCATTGATCAAAACTCTTCATCTGGATTTTATGTTTGCAAACTTTCAGGTTTAAACCAGCAAAAACATGAAATCAAGAAATGAATTAAATACTTAGGCTTCTTATGAGTACCAACTAAAAAAAATCACGTCTTTTTATTTTTGTGGTTTTAAAATAGGAGGACTGAAATGTGAAAGAACGGTTTTAAAAACCAAGGATGGATGCGTATTTTGAAGACAAATAACCTGACATTCACATACATAGTGTAAACAGCTACTTGAAAAAGGAATAATTAAACCATACCCAGAATGCTGGAGAAGGTGAAGCAGCGTCTGTGGAGACAGAGTTAACATTTCAAATCTACTATGGTTTTTCTTCAGCTACTCCAAAGAGTCATCAGTTCTTCCGTTGAAGAGCTCTTCAGTTCTGAAGGAGTCATACCGGACTCGGAATGTTAACTACCTGTCTCGCTCCACAGATGCTGCTAGAACTGCTGAGTTTCTCCGGCATTTTCAGATGTCTACAAACAGGAGGCTGGAAGAACACAGCAAGCCAGGCAGCATCTGGAGGAAAGAAGCAGTCAAAGTTTTGGGCATTACCCTTCTCCAAAACATGGACTACTCCTTTCCTCCAGATGCTGCCTGGCCTGCTGTGTTCTTCCAGCCTCCTGTTTGTCTACCTCGGATTCCAGCATCTGCAGTTTTTTTTGTCTCATTCTCGGATGTTTGTTTGTTTCAGATTTCCCAGCAATCTCAGTGTTTTGCTTTTAAGAAGTACTTGAAGTTTAGGTTGCAGACAAGCTGGAGTTGATGTGTTCTGTATTCAGATGGAGCTCTGGTTGGCTCTAAAAAGTTGACTGACCTATGAACTAGTGGTCAGTTAGTGACGACAAAAACCTTTTGATTGCCAATAACTGTGATTAGTTCTTAGGTAAGTGAACAACTTGGGGCTGGCAACAAGATGTAGAGTGAAGTTATCAGATCTCCACCAGCTCAGGAACTTCCTCTTTGTTTTCTGAAGTCAAAAGCCACTTTAAAAACGGAAGAAAACCAGTTTATCTTTCATTCAATGGTTTCCATAAGCTGTGACTTTTAATTGATAAGTCAGAGACCTTTTACAAGTAAACCAGATACCCAGTTCATCTCGCAAACCAGTAGAAGCATTTGGAAAAGGAACATCAAGAAGACAACTTCCAGTCCGCAAGAACCAACTCAACAGATCTTTGAAACAAAGACTACTAACTGCTCTCCTCATTTTTCCTCTGCTGTGTTTTCTCCCCATTTCTGTCTACGTGCAAGGAGTTTACAAAGGGGATTAGAGATTTAACTAGTAGCATGATATGCCGATAGTTTATAACTGTTTACTTGTAGCTAAAGTTTAATTACTTGTAATAAATAGTAATTCATATTAAGTAAACAAATCTGGTCCATGCTTTTACATCAATCTGGATCTGGAAATCAGCTAAATTGGGGAACAGGAAATACTTATTTTAAAAATCCTTAACTTTTGTGATGACTCTGGGAATAGTGGGTCTTGATTTCCAGCATCCTATCCAGTGAAGTGATTCATTTTGTCAGTTGCAAATTGTTTGTGAAAGTAATGCAGTAATAGTTGGTCGTAACATCGCGGTAGCATCCCTACATCTGGGCAAGAATCTCTGGGTTCAGCTCCTATGGCTAGGACGTGTTAGAAAACATTGAAATATAGAAACTAGGAACAGGAGTAGGTTATTTGAGCCTGCTCCACCATTTAGTATAATTGTGGCTGATCCTCTATCTCAATGCCATATTCCTGCTTTCTTCCCAGATCCTTTGATATCTTTATTATCTAAAAAAACTTATGAATATATTCAGCAATTTGGCTTTCACAGCCTTCTGTGGTAGAGAATTCATAGATTCACTGCACTTTGAATGAAGAAATAGTTTGTCATCAGTCCTAAATGGCCCATTGTATTCTGGGACTGTATTCACTAGTTCTAGCCTCTCCAACCGGAGGAAAAAATCCTCCTTGCATCTAGTTTATCCAGCGCCATTAAAATTTTATACACTTCTATCAGATCCCCACACATTCTTCTAAACTGTAGTGAATACAGGCCTAGTTGAACTAGTCTCTTCTCATAGGGCAGTCCTATCTTTCCTGGTACTAGCCTAGCGAAGCTTTACCACATTCTTTTATAGCATGTATATCCTTTCTTAGGTCAGGAAATAAAAACTGCATGAATACTCCAGGGGTGTGTTCTGACCATGGCATTGTATAACTGCAGTAGGACATCCCTACTTCTGAACTCAAATCCTCTTGAAAAGGCCAATAAACCATTTGCCTTCCTAATTGCTTGCTGCAGCTGCCTGTCTACTTTTATTGACCAATGTACAAGGACATCCTGATCACTTTGTTCATCCCCACTTCATAATATATCACTATTTAAATAAAATATTACTTTCTGCTTTTCACACTGAAGTATAGAACTTCACATTTAGACATGCTATACTGTATCTGCTATGTGTTTGCCCGCTCACTTAAATTGTCCAAATCATCTGGAAGCCTCTTTGCATTCTCCTCACAACTTAATCCTACCAGCTTTGTATCACTGTTGGTCATGGAGGTATGTTTATAACACAGCCAAACAGGTTGATTATCAGATGACAGGGGTTTTTCCCAGAATCTTTTGGATAAATTCCAGAAGCCAAAGCCCAAATTCGTAAAGTGACCATAGCTGTGCAATCAAAGGGATTTTCACTTTTAACCTGTATGATGACACAAATTATAGACAGGAAGGCAAGTGATAAGGATTGTACAAAGAGTCTGCTGTGGGATCATAGCCAGGTTAAGTGAGTGGACAAAAGTTTGGCAAATGGAATACAATGCGGAAAAATGTGAGGGTATTCACTTTGGCAGGGAGAACACAGGGGCTGAATATTGTTTAAATGGAGAAAGACTGCAGAAAACTGCACCAGAAATGCATTTGGAAGTGCTTGTTCATAAACCACAACAAGCTAGCATACGAGTTCCGCAGGTAATATGAAAGACAAATGGAATATTGCCTTTATTTCAAAGGGAATGAAGTGTCAAAATAGGAAAATCTTGCTAAAACTATTCAAGGCACTAGTTTGACTACATCTGGAACACTGGACAGTTTTGGTCCACTGTCTAAGGGAAGACATATGTCATTGAAGGCGATCTAGAGAAGGTTCAGAAGGTTGATCTCAGGTATGGTTGGATTGTTTCAGGTGGAGTGGTCGACTAAGTTGAGCCTGTACACATTGGAGTTTAGAAAGATGAGTGGTGACCTTCTTCAAACATACAAGATTCTTCAGGAGTTTGACAGGGTACATGAGAAGTTGTTTCCCTTGTGGGATTATAGGGCCAGAGGGCATAATCTCAGAGTAAGGTTTTGCTCAGTTAGGACAGAGATGAGGACAAATTTCTTCTCTCAGAGGGTAGTGAATCTATGGAATTCTTTATCACAGAGGTCTGGCGAGACGGGTCTGGTAAGTATATTCAAGGCTGAGATAGACAGATTTTTAATCAGTAAGGGAGACAAGAGGCAGGAAATTGGAGTTGAGGATTATCAGATCAACTCTAACCTCATTGAATGGTGATAGCGACTCAGTGAGCCAAATGGCCTACTGCTGCTCCTACATTTTATGGTCTTATGACTGGCCTGCAAATCCTTCACATGGTTTGATAGCAGATGGCAAGAGTAGGAATGTCTCCTGGTCAGCCATCCTGCACAATGCAAGGCATTGTACTGGAAATCAAACTTCAGAAAGGAGAACAGAAGAAAGGATAGACAGTGCAGTAACAAGGATATAAATAAAACGACAGTTCAATATCCACCTAAAAATCAAGGCTTACTGAAATCAGTGAATAAATAAATAAAAAAAATGCAAGTAGCTTTCAAAATGAGGCTTTTGAGTTTCATGGTTTCATTTTACTTAAGTTTGGGAGCAAATGGTCAGCTGTAAGAGGTATGTGTTTTTGAAGGTAAGCCCTCCATAATGGGCAGGGTTTTGTTATAGTACTGACAATCAACTCCTGCACCTTCACGTCACATTGTGTCTGTGCGGGAGGCCTGACAGGTCTTCAGGTATTAACTGGTCAGGTTCAGGCATTTCACACAATCAAACACTGTAGAGGGGCTGAAGTCCCACTGAGAGTTACTGGTCAATACTGGCCTGCACTGGGAGTGTTGGCTGCCATTGGTTGGAAGACAAGTGGTCAACTATATAGCAATGAGATGAGGAGAGCACTGTACTTGGAAGGTTATGAATGCTCCACTTGTCGAGCATACTTAAGGCTAGAACAGTCAGACTTCTGCTGACACAGGGAAACAAGGAGTGTGAAGAGTGAGCAGGAACGTGGAGTCGAGGCAGAAGATCAGAGCAGACTTGAGGAGCCAGAAGGTTTACTCCTGTTTCTATTTCTTATGTACATATGACAAGACTACCTGAATCTGTTGTCCAACTTCCAGTCCAATGGCACTTGGATGTTTTATCTATAGAAATAAAAAAAAATGAACAGTTTTTGAAGGCTATGATAAATATTTTATCAAATTAAAGACTTTTTAAATTGTATGTATGAATTATTATACTGCACGATTACATTTTGTTTTTTGCACTGTATTTTGTTGCGACTTTTCTTACCCTTCTGTGGTCAAGTTGTGAATTATGCAGTAAAACCGCAGTCATATTGGGATAAAGCTTCACCATAACTCCAATATCCCTAGATAAATACAAGTTATACAGTTAACTTTGTTACATAAAAAAAATTACAAATTATATGAAAATACCTGGGTGAACTTTGTTTGGCTGGTTCAAATTAATACCAGATGAAGCAATTTATTTATACTTCTTTCAATTTAGCTCACTGTATTTGCTCTTCACATTGTAGCTTCCTCTATATTAAAAGAGACCAAATGCAGATTGGATGACTGTTATGTGACACCTCTGTTCAGTCTCAAACATGACTCCAAGATTCTGATGCCTTTTAATTTTAATTCACCAACTCATGTACACATTTCTGTCCTTGGCTGCAGGGTTCCAGTGAAGCTCAACGTTAGTTCAAGGACCAAAACCTCATCTTTCAATTAGGCTTTTTACAACCTAGTGGATTCAACATTGAGTTCAACAATTTCAGTCCATGAACTCTTCCACTATCTTGATTCTGGGTTTTCTGCCACATGCCAATCTTAATCTTGTTTTCCATAGTTGTCATTTGGCACTGAGCCTTTTACTGGGTAAACCTATCCACTCATTGAGCTCGAGTCACATGTTTTCTTGGAAATGCTGTTTTGAACTTACTGTTCAAAATTACTTTAACTTAAAAAGCCACTTTCACAGAACTAAAATTTATCTCTACTTTAGAACCCAAGTGTGCTAATAATAACAATGTATGATCCCTTTAGAAACCTATGAAATTCTAACAGGACTGGACTGAGTAAAATGTTAGTATGGAACACAGATGTCTATTTACCAATTACACGCATAATATGGATGACTGGTGGTTTCACTAGTCACAGATCCATAGTCAGTATTTATGCTGTGGGGGTTATAAAGTAGAAATTCCTATTTCTTAGTTAAGAGGTCATTTTTTGCAATAAAGTACCCACACACACACACACACACACACACACACACACAGTTTAGAGGGTCTACTTAGTATAAAGTATGACTTGCTTTGATGTATTTACCGTATTTCAGTTATAGTGGCAGTGTAAACGGCACCAAACTCAAGTTGTTGTTCTTGCTGTGGAAACATGGAAAAAAAAGCCGCAATTTGTTTTAATATAGAATAAACAAACAAACAAGCTAAATTACAAAGTTATGTTTAGACTTACATCATCCTTGCAGAGCTCACTTATGAACTCAGTAGCTTCATGCATAGCACTTGGAGTTGGAGCAAATACTGAGAATGTTTCTTCATCTACCTGAGATATTGTTACCCCTTTGAAGGGAACAAGAACAAAAAGTTTTGTTTGATTAAAAGATACATTAAACACAATAGAAAGCTCTTGCAGTTCTGCTGGACAAAATGGAATAGCTGGGCCATACAGACTATGGTACATTCCTGGCTGACCTCATTAAACTTGCGTTATGAACAGATGAGGAGGGGTCATGATACCCTTTTTTTAGAAACCACTCTTGGTCAGTCACAAGAAGCCTTTTTTCCAAAATTGTACTCTTTTAGCATGCAGCAGTAATGTCACTGGAATAGTTATCTAGAATCCCAGGCTACTGTTCTTGGAACAAGGATTTAAATCCTAGCACAGCAATGGTGAAATTTGAACTCAGTAAATGTCTGATATAAAAAAAATGCCTAATGCAAATAACTATTGTCAATTGTCATAAAAATCCATCTGGTTCTTTAACACCCTTTGTGGAGGGAAATCTGCCATCCTTAGCTAGTATGAATGGCCTACCTATGACTCCAGATGCACAGCAATGTTAACTCCTAACTGTCCAATAAATGCTGGCCCAGTAAAAACTAGTGTGCACATCATATAAATTTTATTTTTCTTCTAAAAAAAAATGCCTATACCAGCAACCTGCACATGCTTGAGGCTGTCAGTTCTATTCTATGTAAATAACGGTGAGTATGCTTGGAAAGCACGTCTTTTTTTTTTTACTGCTCCTCATGCTCATCATTTCCATCATTGCCCCGAAAGGTACAGCATGTGTGTCCAGTTGAGCGGAGTTTGGCAAGGTGAATGCCCTCCGAATAACTTTCCACTGCCGTCTCTGTCACGATCATTGGCTATGAAGAGTGAGGCATCGGGTAAAAGAACAATCTGTCTAACTTCTCCAACCAAGGTATCAGTATTTGTAACTTAAGTCCTTAAGGTGCTGCAACCTCAAGGAGGTGGTCAGCTACTAGGAAGCTTCATTACCTGCAAAGACCAGAGACTTTGCCTGGAGAAAACCTGAAGGTCCTAGGGATTGTCTTTATAACGATCATATGCACTAGTTGTTGCAAAAAGCCATCAAAGTCAACTGTTATATTACATATTCATCACTAATACTGAACTGTTTCACCAGGTATTTGGGCAGTTTCCACCTAATTGCCATGATGGAGAAACATTATTAATCTCCAGTTCTTTCTCCTCTGCAATTGTTCACTGGGAAATCTGTGGAAGTCTACCTTGGATTCAGTCCCTTTCTCTAGCGTTCTAGCTCTCTCTCCTGCAACGTAGGAGGAAAAGAACCGAGTGGCACATGGTCATCTAATGGGCGCAGAGCATTTTGTAAAAATGACTATTGGAAAACAAGCTATGAAATATCATCAGGGGAAGGGTGAGTCAGATAGATAGTTGGGGATGTGAGGAAGTACAGATAAAAAGGAGGAGTGGGTAGGCAAAGTAAACAGGCGTGAGGTGTAAGATGTCAAAAAGATAGAGGCTGGTGGATGCGCTGACATGCTCAAACAACTTGCCAGTGAATGTGTACTGAATTCATCAGCTAAATGATTAAAGTGTCGAAGAATAAAGGCAACCAGGCGAGGCAAGGATGGCAGACTTCCCGCCATTAAGAACATCAGTAAAACACAATGTGTTTTTGTGAGAATTGATAATAGTTTCACAGTCACCATATGGTCAATTCCATGTTTATTAATAAATTTTGCCAGCTGCCATAGGAGGATTTGAATCTACACTCCCAGAATATAACCCTAAGCCTCCAGATTATTTATCCATGATCTTACACTATGCCTTCTTTTCCCTTTATATGCTTCTGGATTTCCCCCTCAATACAGTTTAATACTTAAACTGTCTCTAAGTTAATATCAGCGTCGTTATGCCCAGAACTTCCCAACGATCAATCCTTAGTCTCTCCTTTTTCTCTTCTATCTGATATATCTTGGCAGGTGTCAGAGAGTGGCTTCAGCTTTCTATGTATATTAGTGACACTTGGCTCTAATGTTTTCACCTTCAAGATCCTCCAACTGTCTGATGGCCTGCCTTACATTATAGACAAATATTTCCTTCAGCTGAATTGCTCATGGCACCTGCCGCAAACCGGTATCCCTCCTTGGCTACTATAGAATATACAACAGTACAGCACAGAAACAGGCCCTTTGGCCCACCAGGTTTGTGCCAACTATGATGCCATTCTAAACTAATCCCATCTGCATCCTTCCATTCCCTGCCTGTTTATGTGTCTGTCTAAATACTTCTTAATCGTTCCTATCATATTTGCTTCTACCACATCCCCTGGCAGCACATTCCAGGCACCCCCATCCTCTGTTGTAAAGAACCTTGCCTCGCAAGGTTTCCCTTCTCACGTTAAACGTATGCCCCCTAATATTTGACATTTTGACGCTGGGAAAGAGATTCTGTCTATCCATCCTATCCATGCTTCTCATAATTTTATATACCTCTTTCAGGTCATCCGTCAGCCTCCAATGCTCTAGTGAAAACAATCCAAGTTTGTTAAACCTGTCCTTATAGCTAATACACTCCAATCCAGGCAACATTGTGGTATACCTCTTTTACACTCTCTCCAAAGCCTCCACATCCTTCCTATAGTGTGGTGACCAGAAATGAACACAATGCGCCAAATATGGCGTAACTAATGTTTTATACAGCTGCAACATGACTTGCCAACACTTATACTCAACGTCCCGATTGATGAAGGCAAGCATGCTGTAAGCCTTCTTTACAATCTTATCCACTTGGTTGTCACTTTCAGGGAGCTATGAATTTGCATCCCAAGATCTCTCAGTATATCAGTGCTCCTAAGAGGCCTGCCATTTACTGTGTAAGACCTAAGACTGAACAAGAGTTCTGCAGAAAGTGACAACCAAAAAGAAAACTTTTGGGTTAGGATCTGCAATTCAAATCACATCCTTGCAAATGACAAAGTTCATTATTTCCACCTCTATTGCATAGCTCATTGTAAAATGATACTGCAAAGAATGTCATTTTGTCAAAAGACTAACAACAGAACATTGGCTGTCATTCAGTTAACTCCTCTCCTCTGATTCCACCCCCCCACCATCCCGCAGCTCTACAAATATATATTCGTTTCAAGTCTTTATCCAAGTTCTTTTTGGATGTTATTGCTGAATATGCTTCCACTACCCTTTCAGATAGAGCATTCTGGATCATAACAGCTAGCTGTGTAAAAAAGGTATTTTATTCTGCCACTTTTGACAATTGCCTAAATCTAGGTCATCTGGCTACCGACCCTTCTGCTGTAGGACACAGTGAGTTACATTTTCCCCAAGGGCTTTATGTCAGGACAAATCAGGTGTCTTAAGACTGCTCGTCATGACAGTGAGACCGGCTACGCAATCTTCTGAAAGGCATTTCCAAATTGGCTGCCACTGAGTATAGTGGCCTATTAAGAATGGCAGGTGGGTTTCTGATGTTGCAGGACCATGGAGATAGCAGCTTTGGAGGCTCAGCAGTCTCACTGAGAAAGGTGGGTGCTGTCAAGTCAGATTGGGGATGGTAGGGAAGCCTCAACAGTGAAGAAAAATTGACAATGCTGACAGATCCACCAGGATGTATGAGAAACCCACCTGCTCGATCAGGCTTGGTTGAGATTGCTGTCTTGCATGGTCCCATCAACAGGGTATGGAGGGGCTGCTCCGCTAGGATTTTTGGATGGCAGAAGTTTCCAGAAAGAAAAATCTGGAAACTGGTGTTTGTGCGAAAGACTTATCATAAAATTCTTGAAAGTATCAAAATGCATTTGTTGCTTAACTCAACATACATATACAGGTGTTAAACACCCATCCATTATACCTTCCTACTAAAGCTGTTCTCTAACTTTCATCAAAGCTTTGGCATTCTTCCGAAAATGTGGTCATACTTGAACACAATGCTCTAGTTGAGGCTGAGTGCTTTATAAAGGTTTAACATAGTTTTCTTGATTTTGTACTTTATTCTTTGATCAAAACAGCCAAGAATGTCGACAGCCTTTCAAATTGTCCAACCACCTTGTAAATACAACTTTATATCATCTATATACTGCAGTCTAGGACATGAATAAATATTACAAATACCAGTGATCCTAATACTAATCCTTGGGAAACACTAGACAGTCTGCTAAAATGGCTATTCACCATTACTGTGTATTTCAGCCCCATAGGAAACTTGCATCTACACTGGCCACTACTGCTAATTCTGTAGGTTCTAACATTGCTAATCGAGCATATTAAAATAATTTAAGGTCAATAAACATTATCATTTTTCTATATTCCAAAAGAACTAAATTAACTTTGTCCAAGATTATTGTTTTTAAACATTTCCCCATCCATGCCATTCAGCCTTACGTCATTTAGTTGCTGGGTTTATTCCTCGCCCAGCTTTTGGAGTGGTAACATCTCCAATTGTTCAGATTTCAGGGCTCACCCTCACATCCGAGAAGGGTTGCAAGATTGGCTAGAATTTCAAACTGTCAGAAAAACCCTCTAAAGCTCCCCTAATCCTCAAGTTTTCTGCCACCTTTCTAAATTCTTCCTCTAGGTTTGGCGCTACTGGATTCATACCATCACTACGTAAATGCTTTGAAACATTGCATAAACAAATGACATAATTGATTCTTACCAGTTTCAGCCTGAAGTTTCCTTAGGTTGTAACCACCTGGACCAACAAATCTAGCTCTTTTAGACACCGGCACCACTACAGTTTCTGAAAAATACACATAAATGCATTTCCTGAATTGAAATCCAAGAAATAACCCAAGCAAAAAATCAGACAAAAAACAAACAGATGCTTCTTGGATTGAAAATAAGACCAGACATCAAACTAAATCCTTCGGTAAAAATCAACAAAATAATTTAGGAAGGAAACAAATTATCTATTTTTAGATAATTAACTGCCTTCAAGTCTAATAGTAAAGCAGAGATTTAGAGACTTAGCTGCATTCTGACCATGTTTCTCCACTTGTCCCTTTGTTAAAAGATGTGAAACCTATAAGCATTGATGTTCAGGGAGACTTGGGTGTGCTCATAAAGGAATTCAGAAAGCTGACATTTCACAACGCTCTTTACAATTAGATTTGGCGAGGGCAGTGAATTTAAACTGGGATGGATCAATTCTTGGTCTTTCAGGGAATAAAGGAAATTAAGTGTAAGTGGGAAAGCAGAGTTGAAGCCCAAGCTCAGTCATGATTGTTACAGAATGATGGTGCTCATGCATCCTGTTCCTGTTTGTATTCAGCAACCTGGATGTGATGCAGGCGACTGAAGGTGCAGTCTACTCTGATGCTGCCCTCCAGTCTAGACAGCAGTAGTAATTCTTGAGATAATTAAACATATCAAAAGAATTAGAAATAAACCTGTCATTTGTATATAATACAACATTGAACATAATGAAGCATGTACTATTCCAGAAACTAAATTAATTGACGTGTAACTAACATCTAACCACGTCTTTTTATTTTTGTACTTTTAAAAATTGTGGACTGAAATGGGGAAGAACTGCTTTAAAACCAGTGCTTTAAAGGATTGCTGCACTTTTGAAAATCAAGTAACCTGGCACTCATGGCGAGCATCATGCAAACAGGTGTTTGAACAAGTAGTAACTGAAGCGGTTGCAGATGGATTGGAGCAGAGGGGTCCTGTGTACATATGCAGTTGCGTGGCAACAAGAAATTGATTGATCTATTCACTAGTAAGCGTTTACTGATGGCAAAAGCCTTTTGCCTAAACTATCTGAATGGCTTGGAACTGGGAATAAAAAAATATAGAAGTCGTCTTTTGATCTCCACCAGTACAGGAACACTGTTTGCTGCAGTCAAAACCCATTTTGAACGCACAGATAATCGAGTTCCTCTTTCCTTCTGCAGTTGTTGTAAACAATGACTATTAACTGGTATGTTAGAGATCTTTCATAAGTGAACCAACCACATTGTGTCTCTTGCAAACCAGTGGAAACATCTGAAGAAATAGGACTGAAAGGCAACACTGACTAGCACGAGAATCACAAGGATTCCTTCAGCAACCTGTGAACTGCATCTCAATTTTCCTCTTTCCATACGATTGTCTGACTGTGTACGTATGTGTCGGTGAGACGGATAGGGGGGAGTTTATAAGGCTGATTACAGTTTTACTGTTATATGCCAATAGCTTATAATTATTAGCACTTGTAATAAATAGTAATTCATGTTACGTACAGAAATCTGGTCTATGCTTTCTATTGACCTGGGTCTGAAAATTCTCAGTGAAACATGACAAATGTGAAAGAAAAACATGCATCTTAGATATAGATGACTAAATGTTTTAGACTATTGGTGAAAAGTGTAGGAATAGTCAAGTATTCTTTGTAGAATCATATTGTGACCACCAAAAAGGATTTAAAAAAAAATCAAATCATAGCTAAATATAATTTTGTAGGTAAACAAGTAATCTTTTTAAATCATACTGAAAAAAGTTCTAGTACAGTTTCCAATCATACTTGCAGATAGTAAAGCAGCAAAAGGTAATTATGTACAGTAAGAGAGAGTTATAAAACTTACCTAGAACAGGTCCATTTTCTTTCCTTTTTTCTCTGGGTTTAGGAATTGCTTTATTCATTAGAGTCAAGATCTCCTTCTTGGCAGCTAGTTTAAAAAATACATTATTATAACTGTGCAAATGACAAATAAAACCAGAGTTGCAATGCAAGATGCATTCAGATCTACCTGAAGCTTGCTGGACAGCTTCCATTATAATCTTCAACGGCAGTCCTGCTATTTTAATGTCTGCCTAAGGAAAAATAAACGACATACATCAGTGGAGCACTAAAGACTGTATGAATCAAATCCATAGAAACAATTTTAATCAGCACATTTTGTTTTACATGTTGGATATTTTATTTGCACTACTCAAAGAAGAAACAATATTACTGTAACCAGAATTTGATTAAGTTGAAATATATATTTCAGAACAATTCATTCCTAACATACAGACACTGCAGAAACAATGAAAAACTACAACAGAATCAATCAGTCAATAAATTACAGATCTTTCACAATGTATGAGAGAAGTAGTGAAAAATGTATAAGACTAGGCTCAAATTTATATTCACTCAATTTAAATTCTGAAACGGAGTTCTGCAAAGTACGAAACTCGGCAATTCAATCCAGCATATGCAAAGTCTATGTGCAATTTTTTGAGCATATTTTGCACACAACATAATTCAGCAAAACAGACAAAATGCAAACAATAAAATTAAATATAGAAAAGAACAGACAGAAGGTTGTCAATTTTCTTTCTTTAAACAAGTAAGGACAACAACACAATTTTCCACTGAGCTATTTCTATAAGGGTTAAAATAAATATTGGTATCATAACGTTCTTAAATTCATTCTATCCAACCCTCAGTATCATTGATAAGGTGTCACAACAGGCTTGTTACAAAATTCAGTGGTATTGTATATGGGAAAGGTCACAATTGATGGAAATTTGGTTGGTGGATAGGAAACAAAGGATTAGGGCACATGTTGCTTAAAAATAGGAAGATTTTAAAACACTGTAACCATAGGGTCAATATATACGAATGAGAGTGAAAGATTTCATGAGGACATAGATAAATAACAGCTTTGCTTCAGCACCGCAGCTCTCACCTTGAGTCAGAAGCTGGTGCATAGATTCTAGATGACATTTCATTTCAGATCTGAGGAAGTGTTGTGCTGCTGGACAGGATATTATACTGAGATCTCAAATGCATATAAAATCTTGCATGCCACTCTGAAGAGTAACCTGATTAATATTTATCACTGAATCATAATCACTATACAAGAATCCCTGGTAGTATAGCTCTTTCTTGTTTGTGGGGCTATATTTTAAGCATATTAGCTGCTGTGTTTCCCTACAACAATGACAAGTATTACATTGGCTATGGAAGTTTTGGGGCATCTTGTGAAAATTACAAAATGTGCTATACAAATCCAATTTTTTTCCAAGCTTAACTTATTTTTGCAAAAATATGATGGACTGTACTCTGGGACGAAAAGCAATTGGTGAAAGCATGCACAGT